GTGTGTCCCTTGTGGGCCATCGTATATTACCCTGTAATTCACATTTTTCCGTTAGCAACAACTTGACATCGACATGCATTTATACGCTTCCAGCAGAGCAGTTGTGCAATAAAGCGTTTGATTTTAACCCATTAAATATCTTTATAATGAACAGTGTTCCCCTGATTAGATTTTTTCGGACTTTTGGTATATTATTGTTTGTATATTTCAGGAACGGATTCCGTAAAATATTTATGTTAAAATTACTTCTGTGTTCATTATAATTTTGTCTAAAGATTGATTAGTTCGACTATAAAGCTAAGTCAGCGTAAAACTGAAAAATACTCAGATTTTGGATTGATTTTTCGAATAGTTAACCCTCGTTAACCCTAAAATGACTTAGTTTATTATAATCCTCAATCATTTATTAATTAATATTTGTTAAAACTAGAATTGGCGAATTTTGGCCAATTTATGGAAATTGAAGTTGAAATATACTATACTTTTAAAGGTCATGTAAATATTTCATTAAATTCGAAACTTTTTTTGGTAGAAAATATTAATATGTTTTATATTTTGTAAGAGATAAATGTATCAGCTTCAAAATGGAAACGATTGCGCAGCCATAGTGATTGACTGTATGTAGTGCACATCGAGAAAAGGAGGTGCTCTCCATTTCGCCATGTTCAATGTTTTGGTAAACTATGCCTGCTGAAAATTTGATGGCGGGGAACACATGGGACTTCAAAGGCATCGCGCAAACGTTCTTCACGCGCTGCGGCAGCTTTGATCTTGGTCATTTGCATAGCGCTGCGTGCGCGTAGCTTTTTCGAGTGATCTCCTTCTCAATTAAGGCTGTAACCATGGCTGTAAATTGTGATTGTTACAGCATGCACGCAAAGATCGTACGCGGCGGATACCCTACGCGGTGGATACCCTACGCGGCGCTATTTACACGATCTTTTGTTACTTTTTCGCCAGTGACGTCATGGTAAAATCGTATATAATCGCCTATAACTACATAAAAATTAGCCAAAGAAAGATTTTAAGGTTGATTCTATTATTAATGGCATATCAAAAATCCTCTCTAGAACAAAAAATCATTTTGCTAGTTCTCTTTTAAATTATGTGGACCCCCACATATATTATATTTTAAGGGGTTCCGCCGTCCCCTATTCTGCGCCCATGGTTTGGTTTTGAAAATTATATCTATTCATAATTTATGTATTCAACTGAAAATACACTTTTGTTTCAGCGGCACGCAAAAATTTGTTTAAAAGAGAGAAAAAAATACAAACTAAAAGAAACATTAGCATTGATTGGTGGGGACAGGGGGACGCGTCCCCCCACTTTTCAAAGTGGGGGGGGGCATCATATCGATTGTTCCCCCCCCCCCCCCCCTTTTCAACACACTTTTCAACAATCTTCTATAATTAAAACCCCACTTTTACAAGCGAATAGAAAGAATAACAATTACGCATGACTCATGAATTTTGTCTGTATTTTCCGGACCAAAACCGAGTAAATACGCAATTGTTTAAACATTTTGTAACCATCTCAGAAACCCACTAGATCGATTTTATGGGTGCAACGACTATCAGTGGCTACATTTATTGTGAAAAGAATGTACTGAACGTTGTTGAAATTGGAAGCATGTATCCTTATTAGGCCAATATTTTTACAAACTCAAAAGTGCACAATTTCTAATATAAACGATTTATTCTTTTTGTATATTATTATGACCCGTGCGTATATACTAGTGTTTAATATTATCTACATACAAGGATTACTGTTTTTTTTTCTAATTTCACGGATATGATGTCTACCTATTTCGATTAAGTGATAAGCCTACCAAAAGTTTACAAACTCCAGTGTTACGTTGACGCAGTCTCACAATGACGCCATAATAATCAGTGGCACATTCAGGGCCGAGCCGGCCCTAATTTTTTTCAAAATTATTTTTTAAAAATGTAAAAAAAAACAAAGGAAAATTAGAATTAGAATTTAAGTCTGAGAGTGCCATTTCCGGCAATCTATAGGTGTCATAATCATACATTTTCTTTCCTCAGCCACAACCATGGTGGGGCTGAGGTGATCTACATTTCCAACGTGCAAGTCCCTCCCTGTCTCCCCTCTAACTTGCTTTCCTGGAGCCGCCACTGATAATGATAAATTAAGTAAATCACCTTTATGTTTGTGAAATCAAAATGCTAACTAATGTTTTGTGTGCTCCCTATCTCCCTAGTCCTGTTTTATCGTAAATTAGACGGTATTATTTCCATTCACAATAATGTATCGCAATATTACTTACACAAAAGTAAAATTCAAAAAGAGGAGAAAAGCAAAAACCTCTTGATTGACTTTACAAGTACTATACATGCAAAAAGACTAAATTAATGACTGTTTTAAGTTTATCTTATTTGTTTTTCATAGTTCGAATTTTGAGTACGTTACAAGCTAATCAGTATATAATAAATCATTATTTTTATGAATGTTACTTTGCACGAAATATATAAGCGGGCATAATTATGACTAAAAAGGATAATTTTAAAAACTTTTTATGATGAGTATTTCAGTGGCAGATTTTTTTTTTTTTTTCACCATCACTATTTTTTTTTTTTTTTTTTCGAAATTTAAAAGTGGAGAAAAATTAAAATTATATTCAAATTCAGTCTGAGAGTGCCATTTCCGACCGACTGGAGGTGCCATGATCTAAATTTTCTTACCTCAGCCCCAACCATGGTGGGGCTGAGGTGGTAATCCAGCTACACTCTCAATCTGTAAAAGTCCCTCTCTGGGCCAGCTCTATTTCAACTGGATCCGCCACTGGATATTTTAAAAATTTCGTATGGAAATAAATGTTAATATTTATATTTCATATTTCATATTTATTTATTCACACAATGCATAAAGGTGGTAACAAGACAAAAATAATAAAGATGCAAGCAAAATCGAATGCAATTGTGTCTGGAGAAGTCAAATAAGCCCAAATGGCTTAACGGCTGGCTCCACCAGAGAAAAATGAAAAGTAATTTGTTCCATAATCAAAGACAAGACAAAACACGACGGAACGAACACAAGGGAAGAACGACAAAGGAGAAACGACAATGCTTTAAATTAATTGCATTGCTTAAAATCAATTAAAAGGCTATATGCGCCAGAGCTTCCGGGGCTTCGCCCCCCCCCCCGGTCCCCAACTCCCCAACCATTGCTTGGGCCTACGGCCCAAGGCTTTATTTTTCCTCTCGTTCCCCCCCCCCACCCACTTTCAGCCACGGATCGACGCCCTTGAAAAGAAACTAATTAGCTCCTATAATTACAGTAAAACAGTAGGCCTACCACTTCCCTGGGAAAAAAGATATGCGCATGCGCTGTTTACCAACGCATGTACGTACATTGGAGGACACGGTACGACGTCTAGGCAGGCGTTTCCGCTTCCTGTATTTTACTTTTGTAGATGTGCTAGGCTAACGCAAAATGGTGAGTAAAAAAGGCATGAGTATTTGGAGTTTAAGTATAAGAAAAATATGGTATCAAAAAAGATATTAAAGAAAAGGCATTTTATCGTCAGTTCTGGCCTGAATCTATTATTAAAGTAGCTGTGAAGAATGCCGGTTGGTAAATGAGGCTAGGCCTACTACTACTGTACTAGCACGGCAGCGCGACCTGTGTGGGAGAAAACACACTCTGAAAGGTGGTACATATTCACTTCCGCATTGAGAGTTTTGGGCTAGGCCTAAGAAGGAAGAGCGCATGAAAACTGTTATTCGTTTGTTTTATCACTCATGCTCTCATAAAGATCATAGTCTCTAATTTACCTTTTCTGAACTGGTTTAAGCTGTTGATTGCAAATATAAAAGATAGACCGTAATTTTGTAGTATTCATTATCATTATCAAGAAAAGTTTAGGGGCCTAGCTGCATAAAATGAAGGGCAGAGTGAGGTCCAGAGTAGGTGTAAAACTTATGGGAAACAAGTAAACTGCAAACAAGTAAGTTGCTCTCATGGCTAGGCCAAAAGGCTTACTGTAGCTAGGTTTACTTAGGCTAGGCCTACAGTAGCTTTGAGGTCCACTAGTCAAGAGGGCTAGGCTCGTTAGCCGGAACACACATGGGTTTGTATGACCATTGCTGGAAAGGACAGCTAGTACTGTATGCAGCTGAGGATGAATACCTAACCTACTGTATTTGAGAAGATTTTCGGCCTCATTTCAACTGCATATCGGCTGTTTATAGATCGCACTTTATTTTAATTAATGATTGCAAACGAATTAATGATTGTGGATTACCAACAGAGCAGACTGTCATTAAAAACATTCAATGCTTGCACCACATCATGTTGCGTTCCCCTTGGGTTGAATTGGTAAAAAGGGTGCATTTGTATACATACAAAACAATCAACCCCAATTTGATATAAAACAGCAAATGACGTTTATAAAAAATGCTAGGTATCGCCAACCATAGGACGCACCATAGAAACTTCTCAGGCCTGGAATATGGACTCTGTAATAAGGGGACTCAAATTCTCATAATAAACTACAGTACGACAGAGGCCATACTATAGTGCAGTTTATCTAACCAGGGAGTTGCTCTTGATTTGAGCTATCATTCCATACAAGTTTCTCATTTCAAAAATTTTCATACAGTACCTTTTATCTTGCATGTAGCCTAATTGATTTACAGTAAAGAAAAGATGCATTTTGAGTTTTGTTTTTAAAAATGTTGACAGATGTTGATACACAGATTTTTATGTGGAAGACTGTTCTAGAGTTTTGGAGCTTCAACAGAAAAAACCCTGTCCCCATATGAGAATGTTTTAACGCATGGGAGTTGGGTAGATGAACAGAGAGTTGAGTTGGTGGAGAATGAGATGAGGTCACGAATATGCTGGCGCACAATCGTTTATGGCTTTGTATGTCAAAATAAAAATTGTAAACATAATACATTGCTTGGCGGTCAACCAATGCAAATCACTCAAAACAGGAGAAATGTGGTCACATCATTTGGTGCATGCAACAAGTCTTGCAGCTGAGTTTCGGACTCTTTGGAGAGATGACAGAAGGGTATTTTGTAGGCCTTATAAAAGCGAGTTATTACTGTCAAGGTGTGATGAGACAAGTGCATGGACAAGACATTCTATTTGCGAATCTGGCCAATCTTGTAGATTCTAAAAGTAGTGCTCACTACAGTACGACATACCTGTACATTGCAAATGTGTTCTTTCACATTCAAATTGTCATTTACAATAGCTGAACACCCAGGTCTCTGGCTGAACAAGCAGCAGCGATACTTGTACCACCAATGTTGACAGATGGGAGCATCTTCTGGTTACTGAGCAAATGCAACACAAAATATTGACATGGCTAAGCACCTCATCATCATACTGTATACTGTATGATAGTAAGTATGCAGGTGCTGGTTCAAGCCAAGTTATGGGTTATTCTCCTTTCTTATTCTCTATCCCCAGTGGGGTCAGGGGGATTAAGCCCCCCTACCAGTCGGGTCGAGCCCCCCCCCCTTCCCATCGACCAAAGGTTGTCAGGCAGTTGGACCAAAAAAAAAACAAAAATAGGCCTAGTTTTCCCATTATATCCTAGAGCTGCCACTGCCCATCCCTTAATATAGTTGCTAAAGTCCCACAAAACAACACACTACAAACATGTAATGTGTGCTATTGTGAAACAACAGGTGTGGTTGTGGGATATGCATGTATTCTTGGCCCTGTTCTGATTGGTTACATTTAAAATTTGATTGGACACTCCTGAAAGTTCTATTATTTTACTATTTCAGGAAATAATTAAGTGTCTAAACCTTCGCTTACAGTACTGTACAAAATCAATAACATAAAGTTAGCATGTGGAGCTTAGCTTACGCACACAAACCATAAAAGGTATTGTACCCTTTGCTATACTGAAAAAAAATGAATTTTTTGACTTGAGGAATAAGCTTAAAAGTTGCTTTAAGCCGACCAGCTTAACTTGCTGTAGACATTCTTTGCAAGTTTAACTAGAAATCTTATGCTAATATTGACATCCCCTTGTGGTTATCATCATGATTCACTTTTTGTTTGAGGTTTTTATGCGTTCTGAGCATTTTCATAACCAAAAAGTGTGGTCTTAAGTTTGGCTGATTAGTTAAGATGGGAATTGATAGCTGCTGCTTTCAAAATAATTCTTCAAAGAAACCAAGCCAATTATTGCTTTTAATTGGATGTGAATTTTTGTGATGTGAGTTGCGATCCCACCATGGACCATAATTAACTTTTTACATACAGTAGGTAAACAGGAAATTTAACCCTTTATTTTTAATAAACTTTTCATTGGAAGCTGTCCAATTGTAATCAGTTTGATCATGGGGTATTGACCTTGCGTTCTTAATTACAATAGTATAAGGTGTATACTGATTAAAACTAACACTTTTTCATGATATAAATAAGCTATAAGATCAATTTATCATCATTGTGCAAAACTCAGTTCACATGAAATTCAGGTTCCAATGTTTCACAAAAAGGAACATAAACTTTACTAAAAAATACACAATTCAATTCAATTCAATTCAATTCAACAATACTTATTTTCTTGCAAAGGTAATTACAAGAAAATATAAAGTTGGAAATACAAAGTAACACAAAAATTTTGAAGGAGGCCAGGTCCCTAGAAGAAGTTTGCTAAAAACATCATGTGATGGACAGGCCTGAAAAAAAATAAAATAAAAACAAATGAAAATAAATAAATAAAAAAGGAGGGAGAAAAAGCAGCTCAATTGGTAACAGCATGACGAATTAGGACCAAAAAAAAATAGTGCAATTTAATAATTTGCGATTATGATACTGTAAGAAAACAAGTAAATAACATAAGGTACGTTATGGCATATATGGAACATTATAAGTATATATAACATTGTATTAGTATATTAAATTATCTCTTGAAAGCTTAGTATACATACTGTAGGGTAGGCATTAAAATGACAGGCATCACTTCGAAGACTAACAAATATTTTATTAGCACAATCTTTCGTACACGCAGTGAACTTTTTCAGGAGACTGTACAAATGAAATGAAATCTCTGATACACAAGACAATGGAGGGAGGACACTCCAAGCCAAGCAAGCAGAAAATTAACAGTAGAGGTGGAAGTAAATAGATAATATATAAAACAATAGAGACCAATAAGCTGTGAAGTACTGTATACAATACATTAGACCATAGACTGTGTAGTTGGCTAGAAATTCTCGTCTATATTGAGTTCCAAGTTATCAATCAAGTAATGATGATCTTATGTTAGCTACTTGTCTGTTTAAACTATTATTAAAATTACCCTTTCTAATAACTTTCAGGTTATGCAAGCTGTGGCCCGGTAAATTAAAATTTTGTTCTACTGGTTTCTGTATGAATTTGTGTTTAGACAGAGAAATAGCTGAACTGAACTGGTACATGACAATTTAAGAATCCTAAGAAATATTTTAATTATCAAGACAACTGCAGAGGTTTTGATACTAGGATCCTATTTGTATGTCAATATTTTCTACTGGAGGGAGGGGCCTGCCCCAGCACCAGTAACAAATATTTTACGAATCCTGCAATGTCATTATTATTATTATTATTATTATTATTATTATTATTATTGTTATTGTTATTGTTATTATTATTATTATTATTATTTGGTGCTTAGACACCTTGTTTATTTGCGCCTTATACCTATTATCATTATAAAATATAGATTTTTTTTTTGCACCTTGACCTATTATAAAATATAGATTTTTTTTTTCATTTTCTAACAAGCATTACAAGTTCCCTTTTTTTTATTCTTTGTGACCGTGGTGGGGCTGAGGTGGTATAGATCCTCCATCTGCTAAAGTACCAGTGGCGAATTCAAGGGAACCTAGCCACCCCCTCCCTAAATTGTTTTTAAAAAAAAAATGGAAATATAAAGATAATTATATTCAAATTTTGTATTATCTGGAAGTGCAATTTCCAGCCATCTAGAGGTGCCATAATCATAAATTTTCTATCTGTGAAAGAACCCTCCCTGAGCTCTTCTGATTCGAATTCATGGATCCGTCACTGGAAATTACAACAAACATGAAGTAATATTACAGGAGCTTCATGCCTATTAACTTATAAAATTCACCAAACTTCGTAAACTATCCGTAGCTTCGAGCTTTGCCCCCTGGACCCCAGCCCGGATGCTTGCTTCGCTCACATACTGGACCTTATGAAATGCCCCCATTTTCAAAATCATTCCGCTGCCATTGCACTCAGCAAATGCATTACATACACCATAGGTCATTTTTTTTTTATTTTAACAGTTATAATTCTTGTTTGTTTTTTCATAGCATCAGTTTAAATTTAAAGGACCAATGTTCAAAATTATGCATTGCTAAATTTATGTTGATTTTTAGACTCAACTGTATCTTTGGATGTACAGTACAGCCCCTAGAGTACACTTCGAAAATTGTAGCTTGTATCTTTTTTTTATTACTAGGTCCGAAAAGGAACAAAACCTACATGGACCATTTTTGGGGAGCAAACCTTAATGAGAAAAGTACATTAGTTTTCAACACCCAAATTACGAGGAATTATAGCCCACCACTTGTACTCCCCATACAGTTATCTAAACAGCATTTGTCTGAAAAACAGCCTTCCATAAAATCTCAAAGGTGTTTTTAATCCTAAATTACCATAAAACCTAACAAAAAAAAAAACCCTGAAAAATGTTATTGATGTTTAAGAAATATTTCCATTAAAGTGTACTGTATATTCCTCAATGTCACATCCTTAACATTAACACCCCTACTGCATACTGTAGATACCAAGTAAAAACTGTTTTCTTACCTCAGCCCAAACCATGGTGGGGCTGAGGTGATCTACACTCCATCTGTAAAAGTCCCTCCCTTTCCCCCCTTTATTTCGAATTCCTGGATCCGTCACTGTATTTTAAAAAATGTAGTGTGAAATAAATGTTAATTGCATCTCTTAAAAACAATTAGATACAACTTATGGAAGGTTATAGACGCCAAAGCTTCCGGGGGGCTTTCGAATGTTTTGTTTACGTCATGATAATATTCACAAAATAAAGAATGAAAAATTGAATGATTATTGCCATCCTTAACAATTTAAATAAAAACAAAGAGTGTTGGTGCTAATTTATTATTATTTATCAATCACACACCTGTTTGACGTACTGTGGCCTCTTTCAGGGAAAATTAAAAAAACAATGAATTACTGAATTACTTTTAATTTAAAACTCTGAACTGGTCTCTGAACTGTGTGTAGGAGTATGTGTCGGTTAGAATTATGAACATAATCGGCATTTACGAGTCAACATTATTAATGTTATAGTTCACCTGTTTCAGTACATTAATTTTTCTTAAGTTAATATTAAAAATGAGTAAAAATACAGCTGTTTTATGTTCTGTACAACTAAAGTCCTGAGCACTTTAAAATAATTACTTTAAATTTGTTATAGTTGAACCCCGGTCATGATCCATTTATTCTGGCAAGTAACACTGGTGTGTCAGAGATTTTACCACTCCCTGGAAAAACCTTTCCCTTTGTATGTCACGAAAGCCTACGAATTCAACACTTCCAGATCAAATTCCCAAAAAAAGGGTAAAAAACATTGGCCCTGCTGGGAGTCACATCCCTGCCCAGAAGCAATGTATACTATTATAATAATGATAAAAAACAAGAATTTTGTTCAGATAATTTACTTTCTTCGACAAATGAAAGCCTACAGTATTATTAATGTGTAAACTTTAGTTTGCCATAAACCGAAAGGTCAACTGATTAATCTCGGATAAGATAGTATAATACATACTTCAAGTATCGAAATGCACGCCATCGTGTCGGGATTCAATATTTCGACATTAATTATGTCAACATCATTAATCTACTTCATTAATTTACTCTTAATTTTTTTATTAAAGTTTGAACAAAAGGAGGGTGCTCAGTCACCCTGAGCACGCCCTCTTGGTAAGCTACTGGAGCATAGATACGTAGAATAGTGTTTAATTCTGAATTGCTTGAAAGATTATTGATATTATTGACTATTATAAAAATAGGCTCTTGCATTGAAGTGGGTTGGAGATAGATCAAGGGCTTGGATTTGAATTGAATCATTGTTTTAGGAGTTAATCTCCTGCTCTTTTCCGAAGTGCCATATTACACACAGGACTAACAGCTTAAATGTCTCATCTCCTGTTTTCCACTAGACGAGTTTATTTGCATTAATCAAAATCATCAGTTCATGTGTATTCACACTTCTATCAGAGTTTTTTGCTTCAGCGAAATCAGTAGGAATCAGTTGGAACTGTTTCTACTTTTTGCGAATAAAAAAAAATGCGCAACCAATCAGAGTTTAGAAAGTGAGCCAACGCTTTCGATTTGCATGGATGAATTCGCCTAGTAGAAAACAGGTCATTTCAACCCTTCACCTGAAAAATAAGAACAACATATAGAATTTAATCAGGGACCAAATATTTCAACGGTTGAACGCACACACAGTGGCTACTCACTAGTTTATTTGGCTGAGCTATTAAATTTATTTTGTGTCAAATATTATTTGTCTTTATTTTTTTTTTCTAGGCTGCCACTTTGAGACCATACCTAAATGCAGTGCGTTCTACATTGACCGCTGCCATGTGCCTAGAGAACTTCTCGTCACAGCATGTTGAACGACACAACAAGCCAGAAGTGGAAGTCAGGTAATCTTTAGTGACTAGTGTTGAATCAATGTTGAAAATTCCATAAGACTAATGCGAAAAATATCTTGCAAGTGATTCAGGTAGGAATCAAACCCATGACCTCCAGAACTAGCCTGATGAATTTCCTGATGCAAAACCACATCGGAATAGCATTGCAGTACCCACTGCTACTTGGGGAGTGGATCAAATCAATTCATATTTTTTGACTTTCAAGTTTTACATTCTAAATAAGTATAAAAAATGAAGTGATATAACAGAAAAGGGTTCCAAAAATATAGAGTGATTTGTAACAGTAAACAGTCATTCTAATATGATGACTTTAATCACCAGCCATTAGGTGGAGACACCCTCTCCCAATCTATCCACGGTGTTCCATGCATCGTGTAAGGTTTTTTTCATCTACGCAAGAGTGCCTTTTTTTTTGTCTCCCCCTCCCCCTCCCCCTGAAATTGTCAAGAACTGCCCTCCAGAATTTTACTTCAGCTGTGTACAGTACAGTGTGGAGCAATTATTTTGTTATACCTTCTTTAGCAATACTTGAAAGTTAATCAAGCAAGGTAAATTTTTTTTTTAATTTTTTTTTTTCATTTTAAAAATGGTTCTACCAAAGGCATTTAATTTGAAAGGAAATGATAATAGATTCCTTGGTGAATAAAAAAAAACCTAAGTATTATATAGAAAGTAATAAACAACGCCCCAAGGCTCATACTGTAGTCAAGATTTGTTATCAATATCAGTCGTATAAAGAATGTGATGCTGCCTGTTTAGTAATTGGATCAATAAATGCAAATGCTATTTAATTGCAAGGGAAACGATCTTAGGATTTCTTAGGAAATTTTACCGCGGGTGCAATAAAAAAATAATATTCAGGGAACTTTAAAAAAAAGGAAAGAAAGAAAAAGAAATTATTGAAAACAAGAAAACAAGAATTTCCCTGTGCCATGCCCCATACAGTATCCCCCTAGTGTAGTGTTGTCTCTTGATCGCTCCCATCTCCAGACATCTCTGGATCCGGCCCTGAATATACGGTACATTTCATAGATCTGTAGGCCTACTTACAGTGTAGATCCGAACTGGATACAAACATAACAAGTATATTCTGGTGAACATTATTTCTCTTAGACCAGATATTTGGAACAATTTTGCACATTTAATACATAATTCATCATTGCTACAGTACCTTTAAAAAACTAATTAAATTAGACCTTTTTCCTACTGGGATGCAGTGGCGGACCGTCAAAGCAAGCAAGGTATGCAGTGCATACCCTGGCTAAAACAAATAAGAAAATACTGTATAATAGTACAGTTTCTGCTTTTGATTTAGCATTTCTTTGCCACAATCTTCTATATAAACCTTAATTTTTTCGAGTGGAATGCTGTAGTTTATTGGAAAAGCAAAGTTTTTCAATGTTTGGCCTACTTTGGTATCTAGGATAAGTCACATTTGGGCCTATCGCATTGTGCTCTCAGCTGCTTAGAATTTCCGCGTGGCTGGTATTCAATATCAACCAGTCACGTATTCAGTGAGTCAATGGTAGTCAGAGCATACCCTACAACACTTAAATTTGCTATTGTGACAACAGTGTGGTGGCGTCAGAATAGCCAATTTAACACTGGAATGGAAGCAGTACTTTCAAGAGTATGTGCGCATGCTCTTCTTCTCGCAAATCAGGACCTTCACTGCTGATTGGGTATTCTATATATATACCTAATCTCAATGATTAAAGTTTAAATAAATTTGCATGCATATAACCGGTATAGAAGAAACTTTGAATTATTATTATTTGAATTGAAATATTTTGAAAAGAAGATCATACTACAACCATGCCGATATTAAAAATAACATACATTTGTATATTGGCTATAGTGCAATCTGATCCTATATAGTAGTAGGCTTACAAACTTTACCTACTAGCAGGCCCTACAGTAGCATCAGTGGCGTGGGGGTCTTGAAATGGAAGGGAGCTGATGTGGTGGGTAAGTAAAGTGGGGATCGGTGGTTAGGTGAGGGAGCTAACTTGCAAAATAATGTCATTTGAGTTGATTTTTAACTATTTGAGCATGATTTGTGGGCGGTGGCTGGGCGAGTATTTTTATCAGGGGGAGGGGCGTGTGCGACCGACCCTCGCACATCCTAGATATAGCATACCCTGCAATTTACCCTACATTCCGCCACTGCTGGGATGCACTTATGGTGGCCGGAGCTGGGCAGGGCCACCCACCCTTACGGTGGTTAACCCAATTTTTCATCCTTAAAATCCACTCTTATCATTTAGAGCTTACCAATGTTATCATCACCCACCCGTAATTTTCCGCAACTACTGTACAACCCAGCCTAAGTAACATGTTCACCAGATGACCGATCTACAGTATGGGTTTTGTATTGCGCTTTGGTCTTTGTAAAAGCTGATATAAAAGAGAGAATTATTATAGTCAATATCGGTTTATGGCTAGAAACAATGTCTTAAGTCTCGTCTTGGCACAGAATGCATGGATATCATCGCCTCTCCAACTTTTAATGCTCTACTGTAGAATTGTTATATTTATTTTAACTAATCGATAATTTGATTTTTTAATAGTATAGACTCTTTACTTTTACAGCATGAAATGAAAGGCCAACATAGATTGGTAAGCCTTCAGTAGTTTGGGGCACATTAATTCAACTATAATAAATTCACAAAAAAAGTCAATAAAAGGGTAATAAGTAACATCATAAATGCATGGAGTTTCGAGATTGTCTCCAATTATGTAATCTGGTGATAGATTATTAGATAAATCCAACTACTTACTACAGTAGTACTGTACTCTTATTCTGCCATAAAAGCATGAATCAATAACTTTGAAGCATTTTGTTTTTGTTGTGGCAAGGGGATGGTCCAGAGACTACACTTTCATACATAAAGGATTGGGTGTGTGGAAAAGGGTTTTTTACACTGATTTTGAGTGGTTTTTTTGATACATAAATCAGAAAAATTTACTGTACCATTTAAAAAAAATATAAAGGGCACCAAGTGCAGAATATACCTGACTAAAAAGCTTTAGAAAATAAAGTTTTGAGATTCCTTTTTGAATGAATCTAAATTTGCAGACTGTCTAAACAGAAATGGGTACTGATTCCAGAGAATGACACCACAGTCTTACTGATGAGTTTGTCACCAACTGAAATAAGCACAGCAAAGCAGATGGGGTTTGGGGGGCATAAACAGAAAAGGCATGTTTTACATTATTTTTAAGCGAAAGGAATTATATTTATCAACAGCATCACTGTAGCCCCCCCCCCCCCCGGATGCATAGTTTGTATACTACATGATAATTAGACTATCAGTAATAATAATACAATATATAATATGTAATATTACATATATTACAATATGTACAGTAATACAATAAGTAATATTTGTAATATTATAATAGTAATTTAATTTAATATTAAATAACTACAGTATATGATAGTGAAGTTTATCCTTTACTGGATAATACCATACAAAGATATTCCAGGATAAAATACTGTAGTCATTTTATTGTCATATTAAATTTTATTTCTGATGCTAAATATTTTTTTATGAACACAAAGTGTTGTGTACGTGAGAAAGTAGATATGCAAATGGTTTCTTGTATCTGTATTCAGAGAAGCCTGCCAGACCAGACGGTTAATTCTTTATTAAGTAGACGAGAGCTTTCTTCTAGAATCATTTATATTTGGCTGATGGCCTCCCTCTCATCATCTTCTAAAGCATCAATATCAATTACTGTATTCTGCCTTCAACTTCTTTGGTGAGGTTGATTCACACATTTAGAATATCCACTTTAATTAAGCACAGTACTTGCTTACCTGTAGCATATCATAGTATTTATTGGCATTTATGTGTTTGTTGCATTTATTTTTTTTTATATATTTCATCCAGTATAAAAAAAATCCTGAAACTATACACTCAAGTCACTTATCAGACACAATTTATTTTGTGGCTGCCTAAAGTTTAATATTAATACACAAGCAACAAACATGCATTCCTAATAGCTTTAAACTTACCAACGCTTTTATATACAGAATACAGAATACAGAAACTTTATTAGTCCAAAAAAGGGAAATTTGTTTTGTTGACAAGCTCAAAACTACAAAATCACAAAAGTCAAAAACAGAATCAAGTTTTAAAAAAAAACAAGTAGAATTAATTAAAGATTAAAATATATTACCTAAAAGCGTACATTATTTAAGTTTAAAATAGCAATTTTTACAGTCGTTACAAAAAATACAGATCAACAAACTCAGTTTAAGATATAGGAAAAACATGTGATCTTGTTCAGAAATAATAAATATTCCATAAATTTGATTACATTAACCAGGGAGATATAAAACCTAACCCTAACCCAGTGAATTTATTTAAACATCCACCACAAGAAAATAAAAAACAAGATCATGATTTAAAATTATATAATAATAGAGTAGTAGACCAAAAAGTAATATCAAGAAAGAAAGCATATGCCGTACAAGTAGTTGATGAATGGAACGCGCTCCCAAACAAAGTTGTTATCAGCGAAGACACTTAATATTTCAAATGTGGTTTGAACAAGGCAAACTGGTCTGGCCATCATCTAAGATTCAGCCCGTGTGTATCTAATGAGTATTCTAAGATGTACAGAGGTAAAAATGAGCTTGGACTCATAAGTCTCAGAGAACAAAGGTAGACAAAGGTAAACTAATTATACTTTTAAAATACAGACAATTAAAAGACCACAGTACAATTTTCAGGACAAGAGGTGTGCTGCCCCAATTCACCACTGAAAACTCCTGTTGTATCCTTTTACAATAACTGCAGTTTTGGAGTTTTGCATAATATAATATTTCTGCTTATTTTGTAATACCCCAACATTGGAATTTCTATGTATTATACTCCTAAATCATGATTTTTTCAGAAAACAGATCAGTTGATTATAATTATAATTGGAGACTTTATGATGGTAAAGAAAGCAGAATCTAGTAACTGTCAATATTGGCTTAATTGACAGGTATGTACAGTAGAAGGCAATTAATTAATATCACTCTAAAATGATGGCCTACAGTATAGTACATTATTGTGCAATCGTCAAATTTATGAACCATTGACATGATTCAGCTTAACCCATTTCCTATTAGGCTAGCTAGTTCAAAAAATGTCCAGCTTCCATCAGGGAAATCTCCCTGCCTCCATCATTAATGTGATTTAAAGCATGGAGGTATTATGGAGAAGTGGTTGGCGCATCGGTTGTGGTTTGGACTCCCAACCTCGAGGTCGGGAGTTCAAAACTCTCGCTGTGCAAGTTGCTTGTGTCCTTGGGCAAGGCACTTTATCTATGGTTGTCTCTCTCCACCCAGGAGTAAAAGTGGGTACCTGGTAGGTTCAAACACAGCCTGCGCTGAATATAGCTGCAACATTATGGAATTCCCCTATGGGGCCTGAGTGTGTGTTCCATATGTGCTTGATCCAGTGATCCGGGGTAATAATGTTCAGCGCATAGAGAAGTTTGATATGCGCTATATAAGTATACAATAATAATAATAATAATAATATTCAGAAGATCACTCAAAAATTCTCTGCGTACACAGTGTTATGCAAATGGGCCAAGATCAAAGCTGCCACAGCACGGGAAGAACGTTTAGGCGATGTCTTTGAAGTCTAATGTGTTCCCCACCACTAAATGTTCAATGGGCTTACAGTAGTTTACCAAAAAATTTAACGTGTCGAAATAGAGAGGACCCTTCTTTTCTCAATGCGCACTGTTTACAATCAATTACATGTGCAGTTGTTTCCACTTAAAAACTATGTATTTATCTTTTAACAAATACCAAACATATAATATTTTATACGAAAAAGATTTTCAAATTCAATAAAACATTTACATGAGCTTTAAAAGTATGGTTTTCAACTTGAATTTCCATAAATTGGATAAAACTCGATAATTCTAGTTTAACACTCTGACCGCCAGCGGTTTGAAAAAATATTATCAGCCACCGCCAGACATTTTAGCAAATTTTAACACTTTCCGAAGCTTGTTGAGAGTGTGTATGTGAGCAGATTGGCATGTAGTGAACACTCAAGAACTACAAACATGTTAGCTTTACAAAGGTACCAAACATTTTATTCTAATCACAATCGGTGACCCGTAACAGTAAAATTTCCAGTTTTGCAGTTTTTTATTCAAACCAGTCAATTTTAGACAAAATTATTAACACAGAAGTAATTGCAACAGAAAAATTGTGCGGAATCTGTTCCTAAAGTATACACATACAGTAGTAACTTATTAAAAGTCCGGAAAATCCAGTCAGGGGAACATTGTTAATTTTAAAGATGCTGTATTTAATGAGTTAGTATCAAATGGTTTATCACACAGCTGCTATGTTGAAGCATATAAAAAGCCTGTTGTTGCTAACGAAAAATGGTAATAATACGATACACGCCCGTGCGTGATCCAAAGTTGGGGAACACATTGGTTTGTCGCGTCAAAGGGATCTGTTGCAGAGTGATCTTCTCAATAATAATACCTTGCTTAAAGCATGATTTCGGGGAATTAAAAAAAAACAAAACAAAAAAAACAAGATCCATTCATAACTGTAAAATTCATCTTTATACTGTTAGTTGAATTCTCAAGATTATAACTTCCTTCCTTTCATGATTTAGCTTCCTGATTGTCATGGTGGGGAAATGGGTCAACATTTTAGTTACTATAACAGCATGGAGGAATTAGTTTTATATTTTTATTACTATAACAACACTTGTAATTGTATTTTATTGGGTTTAAACTGAATGAAAAACATGTACTGTACCTGTATGTAGAATGGTGTTGCTAACTTCATAAATCTTGTTTTTGATTGTTTGAGTATTTTTGGCATTCATTTAGAATTTAATTTATTTTAATACATTTAAAGATCATTGCTGATCATTAGGGGCCCTCAAATAATAAGCCTAGTAAAGTACAAGAATCAATTAAATACAGAATTGCATTTATCGTCTTGAAATGTCGTCAACTGTACCATAGCTCAAGCATAATTTAATGTCTTGAAGTACCACCCAAAAAATTTAACAAAATGAATTGCTTACATTGCTTACATATTAATGGTATTAAAGGTACTGTAATCAACTTTAATTGAGCCTTTACCAATTGAGCTTCAAATCAGACAAAAAAATAAGAAACTAAACCATGAATTACCCTATACACCATAGTAATAATTAACCATACAAAATAAACAAATAAGAATTCAAATTAGGTAGGAACTACTGTCTTTATCCTGTATTTTGATCTGAGAGTTACTGTATTTCTCAGATCAACCGCCAGTACATTGTTTTTCTTTGTTCCACCAAGGTACAGTATTTAGGGCCTTTGCAGTGGCTGCTTCTAAGCTGTGGAAAAAATTTCATTGGTCAATCATTTTTGGGGAAGATTTTTTTTTCCTTTAAAATCTGGTTGAAACCCCATCTTTTTAGTTCCATGTAATCCATTTTCTCATTTTAGTCTAGTGTTATTTTTATTGTTTTTTGTTATAACTATTAAAGTGCATTGAGACAATCTATGGGTTGTATAAAGTGATATTCTATGTTACAGTCAGATATCACTACATCATTCTCTAGCAATAAGGCTGGAGCAGTAATTCACAGATGCTGTGTAGTACAAGTAGCAGTTCTAACTACCAATTAATACTTGTGTATTTGTTACATGTATCCATTGTATATCAATTAAGATGTAGTAAGACAAAAAATAACTTTTATTTGTATTGCCCAATCTTGAGCGACTCAAATCTATGGTTTCCTTTCGTATTACTATTTTTTTTTTTACAAAATATAACATTTCAAATACCAATTTTTAAGCTTTAAATAATGTATTCTATGCCCCAACCATGAGTTCTTTGGTAAACTTTTTGTGACTGTACACACAATATATGTATACACAATAGAAATCCATATGCAGCAGTTTAAACCTACTGTAAAATTTCACAATAAGAAAATAAGACAAACAGTAGGCCTACTATACTATATAGGAAATTGTTCAATGTTACAAGTACACATAGAAATATAATACCATTTTGGGTAGGTGATAAAGGTAGAAGTATATTATTATTTGCTTTAAAAAAATGACAATACAAGCAATACTGTTCTGGTTGCCATTGATTTTATACTGTATATAAGGTCTAGAGATCTACAGTATGTCTACAAAATGGCTGGTGAAGTTTGTGAAAATATTTTCAATTACCTAGAGGTTTTACTACCTGTATATTTTATTGCAATAAATGTATGGTGTGATGGAATCAAACCCATGACCTCCTGACACAACCACCATTGGAATATAATTGCAGTACCCACTGCTACTTGGGTATCACGTTGGTCGTGGGTTCGATTCCCATTCGAAAGCTAATTTTATTTAATTAAAATTGCAATTTGACAAGTATCAATATGCCACTGGTATTTAATATTCCAAAAACGTAATTATTTGTAAAATAATAATGATAATTTAATTATTGCAATATTTTGACCTTTTAAATAAATTGATATTATTGATTACCAAGAACTATAAATGTGCAGTATATTACTGTATAACCATAATTTAAACACAGCAACTAAAATGATAATAACGATAATTAATAATTTAACCTATTTTTGTTTTTTTTTCTAATGGAATATATTTCTAATTTTTTTTTGTTCTTTAGCATTTGCTGTTTTGTATTTACTAATAGTTGGTTTTATGTTGTGTTTAAAATTTTGTGATGCAAACCATTTCAACCTCAGCTGCTGTTTGTATTTTTTTAAATATATTTTTATACCTGAATAAATGAATTGTTAAAAAAAGTACTGCAGTATACTATAACTGATTTTTGTTTCTTTTTTTTTCAGGAGTAGCAAAGAGCTTTTGTTACAACCCCTTGTAATCAGTCGTAATGAGAGGGAGAAAGTGTTAATAGAGGGCTCCATTAATTCTATCAGGATAAGCATTGCTGTTAAACAGGTAAACAAAAACAAACTAAACCACAAACAAGGCCAAACCAAACAGACAACCAAACAAACCAAACAGAGACAAATCAAACCAGTCACTCGTCGCAAACCCTGTTTCAGAGATAATGACCAAAACTTACTGGAATGTCAGCATTTTAAAAATTTATTTCAATGTTAAACCAACAATTTTCAGAGATTTAGTGATAGTTTCTGCCTAATAAGTGCTCGAAATCATAAAATGATTTCTCAAATATTGTTCTTAAAAACAGCTGTATGTTTAAACGCTTGTAACTTCATAAGGAAATGTCAGATTTAAAGTATTCTTTTACCATTTTATAGCTCTTATTTTACTTTTGAACCTTATTAATAACTAACAATTGATTATTGTGACGAGTGACTGGTTTGGCTTGTCTTTGCCACAAAAATGATAATAAAAGATGATAAAATAATAATCCATATGATAATTGCACAGTTCTCAACTAGTAAAATCCATTTCAGGTAAACTGTCATTAAATTTGTCATTTGTAAATAGGTAATTTCTATAGCACTTAATGGTTTGTCCTGAGCACAAAATAGGTTGTTCTAAACCCCTGGTCCTCAACTCCCAGCCTCGAGTTTCAACATTTTTGTTGTGTTTTGTTGGCATCCCTGCTACAAGCATGTTGCTTTTTAGGTTATGCCAGCATGTTCTTCGTTTTTTTTTGAATGGAAATAAATCTGAATCATTTCGACCGCAAGTGTTGCAATGATTTAACTGAATAAAATGGTGTGTGAATTTTCCGGGTTTTATATGTGTTCATTGTTAAACAGGTAGTGTATTTAAGTTTCATATAAAAAAAAACACTCACAATTTACCAGTATAGACAAAACATCCATCCCGTATAATTGATATTTACTTCTATTTTCGGCAGGTGGGGTAGTAAAAACGTTTAAACGACTTCATTTGACATTTAGGAGTTCATTTTAGACAGGTTAAAAGTACAGTATTTGTAAAGCTAGCCATTTCTACTGCAAGCATAGAGGGGGCCACATTTAATTGACTTCATTTGACATTTAGGAGTTCATTTTAGATACGTTAAAAAGTATTCGTAAAGATTGCCATTTCTATTGTAGTCATCTAGAAGGGGCCACATCCTTAAAATTATCTCACCTCACCCCATACTGTAGCCATGGAGAGCCCGAGGTGGTTATCTAGGCACCTGTGAGACAGCAAGATTTAAAGCAACCAGGGTTCTAAATCCTGGACAGGTATGGGCAGTAAAAACTGTAAAATGTAAAAATAGCCTGACAGAATGTAGATGAATGGCACTATTTTTTTTTCCCAGAATGAATAATAGTGAAGATTATGAAGATAAATTGTTGTAAAAATCGTTAATTCTTTACAATTAATCAAAAGACTTTTTTATACCTTGTCTAACAAACCCGCACTCTGCCAATAATGATGATTTCAAATAAAAATAAAATTTGATCTTAGGCCAATTAGCGCAACTGCCGCCATGAAAAATGGAAATTTCAGAAAAAAAACAAATTAATTTTTTCGTTATTTTTATTACGCCAGCCGATGCCTTAAAATCTCTAAAAATTTGATATGTATATTTCTTCCTAATTATGTAAATTTAAAGCATTTAATCATCCCCTTACTAGACTGTTTACATTCACCAATACAATTTTATTTTTATTTTCTCCTCGGTCGGACTGTTTTTGGCAAAACCATTTGCTAAATATTCACCCTCTGACAATCTTTAAAAAATAAGTTTGGGAAACAAGATAAAAAATAATTCTTGCCTTAATCTTATAGATAATTGATGTAAAAAGGTTAATTCTTACAAATAAATCAATATTTCAATTTCTAAATTTAACTTTAAAAAGGTCAAATTTATTTCTTTATTTTAAAATAGCTTTGTAGAACAAACAGATAACAAAGAAGAAAAGTTTAAATGAGTACCAAAAAGGAATTTCTTTCACTCTGTTAATTCTTTTGGAATTTCTGATTAGTGTTAATTGTGTTTTTTAGATATACTCACGGCTAAAACCAACTCTGCTTGATTAGAAACATGCTTCTCGGTTATTACTGTATAGTGCATAAATTTAACCAGTCAGTCACTATCAGGTAATGATGCGGCAGTTGCGTATTAGACATTCTACTTAAGTCGTTCTGTATTTTGCTAAGTTAATACCGGTACTATGAACAATTTAATTTAATGTTATTTTTAGAACAGTATTCATTACAACAGAATCTAGCCTTGGGAGCATTCAACAGAAACACTTCTGGTTTTTTTTAACTGACATCTTCAGTACAGGTAAAAATGAATGGAAAAATATCAGTAAATATAATACAAAAACATGTTTCCTTTTTTTTTTTAACAGAAAATTTATAAAACAGTCTTACTGTATTCAGTGTGTGCTTTTGTCGTGAGCTAAAAAAATGTTTTGAGTAAGATTATTAAAATCAGGCTCCGGAGGAAAAAAATTTTTTATATGTTGTAGCACTGATTTTTCTAAGACGAAAAAAAGTTGTCTGACGAAAAACTGGAGAACGGTGAATGAGATACAGATTTTTGAATATTTAAAACTAGGGTAGAAAAGGGGGCGTAACCACCCTTTTTTACACATTTTACCCCAGTTTTTAAATATTCAAAAATCTGTATCTCATTCACCGTTCCCCAGTTTTTTTTCCGTCAGACAACTTTTTTCCATCTTTAGAAAAATCAGTGCTACAACATATCAAAAATGTTTTTCCCTCGGAGTGTGACTTTAACCTACATCAATTAAAAATGTGAATGCAAATTAAAGCCCTATTCCTGGCAAAATTGAATTTTGAAGTTTTTCTGACTTTTTTTTTATAGTCAGTGTATTTTTAAATACCATAACAAGATGTTTCTTGTAATTACAGGTTTTCTGTATAGTGCCTCGGGTGTCTATTAATAGTCAGATCTTTACATCTCTTTCCTTTCCATCATATTACAGTAATAGGAATCAAAAAATCAAATCAAAAGTTTAATGTAAAAACATCCCATTAATTTTATTGCAAATGCTTTATCCTCTTTATCTCCGATCATCAAAAAAATAAAATAGTTTACTATGATAGTTTCTAGTACATATAGATTCCGTAGCAACTGGTTTATGATTTTTCCTTCCGTTTAAAGATTGCATTTGTCCAGCTAGCCCATCACCATAAAACTATTTGGCTGGGTAAAACATGCCAGAGACTTAATTTCCTCTCAATATAGATCTATGGGTCCCGGTCTAATATTATAAGCAAGTACCGGTAATCACCACCAATGAAAATTCAGTTGAAGGAAAAACATGATGTAATCAACAAAAATCTTACACTGACAGGTAACATGTGACATGAAAAATAATATTTTCTTTTGTTTTTAATGATAATGAAAATATTTAGTCTAGGTAGGACTACACCATTATCTCCAACACCCTCCCCCCAATCATTTTTTAAATAGTATCAGTATATCACACATTAATAGACTTTTCACACCTGTGTGTATCTAGGCATGTGACGCTAAACTAGAAAATGACACCTTCCATTCAGGTTAAGCTATTGAATTTTGAAGTTTTTCTGATTTTTTTTTTATAGTCAGTGTATTTTTAAATACCATAACAAGATGTTTCTTGTAATTACAGATTTTCTGTATAGTGCCTCAGGTGTCTATTAATAGTCAGATCTTTACATCTCTTTCCTTTCCATCATATTACAGTAATAGGAATCAAAAAATCAAATCAAAAGTTTAATGTAAAAACATCCCATTAAGTTTATTGCAAATGCTTTATCCTCTTTATCTCCGATCGTCCAAAAAATAAAATACTTTACTGTGATACTGTAGTTTCTAGTACATATAGATTCCGTAGCAACTGGTTTATGATTTTTCCTTCCGTTTAAAGATTGCATTTGTCCAGCTAGCCCATCACCATAAAACTATTTGGCTGGGTAAAACATGCCAGAGACTTAATTTCCTGTCAATATAGATCTGTGGGTCCCGGTCTAATATTATAAGCAAGTACTGTACCGGTAATCACCACCAATGAAAATTCAGTTGAAGGAAAAACGTGATGTAATCAACAAAAATCTTACAGGTAACATGTGACATGAAAAATAATGTTTTCTTTTGTTTTTAATGATAATGAAAATATTTAGTCTAGGTAGGACTACACCATTATCTCCAACACCCTCCCAATCATTTTTGAAATAGTATCAGTATATCACACATTAATAGACTTTTCACGCCTGTGTGTATCTACTGTAGGCATGTGACGCTAAACTAGAAAATGACACCTTCCATTCAGGTTAAGCTATTGACTTTTGAAGTTTTTCTGACTTTTTTTTTTATAGTCAGTGTATTTTTAAATACCATAACAAGATGTTTCTTGTAATTACAGATTTTCTGTATAGTGCCTCAGGTGTCTATTAATAGTCAGATCTTTACATCTCTTTCCTTTCCATCATATTACAGTAATAGGAATCAAAAAATCAAATCAAAAGTTTAATGTAAAAACATCCCATTAAGTTTATTGCAAATGCTTTATCCTCTTTATCTCCGATCATCAAAAAAATAAAATAGTTACTATGATAGTTTCTAGTACATATAGATTCCATAGCAACTGGTTTATGATTTTTCCTTCCGTTTAAAGATTGCATTTGTCCAGCTAGCCCATCACCATAAAACTATTTGGCTGGGTAAAACATGCCAGAGACTTAATTTCCTCTCAATATAGATCTATGGGTCCCGGTCTAATATTATAAGCAAGTACCGGTAATCACCACCAATGAAAATTCAGTTGAAGGAAAAACATGATGTAATCAACAAAAATCTTACAGGTAACATGTGACATGAAAAATAATGTTTTCTTTTGTTTTTAATGATAATGAAAATATTTAGTCTAGGTAGGACTACACCATTATCTCCAACATTATCTCCAACACCCTCCCCCCAATCATTTTTGAAATAGTATCAGTATATCACACATTAATAGACTTTTCACACCTGTGTGTATCTAGGCATGTGACGCTAAACTAGAAAATGACACCTTCCATTCAGGTTAAGCTCTCGGTTCCATTAGAGAACAATGCTGTTTCAAGTAAGGGATAGGTGGAGCCCAACAAAGTGACCACAGTGGAATTAAGCACTCATTTGAGTTTCTTGTGTTATCCTACTGTAGGTGTTTTATTTTTTCAATAATTATGAAATGAAATGAAATAAAACCTGGTTACCTACAGTACCAAGTGGCTGTGTGATAATCATTTACTCTGCACGAGGATAATATTAAAGGGCAAATATTTGCTTATTATTATACGTATTCTGCATTTTTTAGAGTGGAAGAGACAACTCATGTATTTGTGTGCATCCATCATTTCTCTATTTCTTCCTTTTACAGTAAATGTGTAAGAAATGACCCAAAATATTTTTATACTTTTTTTATGTTTTATTATTTTAGGCTGATGAAATTGAAAGAATTCTATGTAGAAAGTTCATGCGATTTATGATGATGAGGGCAGAGAACTTTTTCATCTTAAGAAGGAAAGCTGTAGAGGTTAGTGATAACAAATGTTTAAACCCGCATCACCTCAAGCGATGGTGGGTCATCTTATGCACACAACAACTGTGTCAAAGGTCAAGCTATGTAAACCAACCATAGAGTGTATATATGATTGTCTGAATTTAGAGCGCTATTTACACCGTTTGTTGGTCATTATTGATAGTATATTGATCAAATACAAAATACAAAGCTCAAAAATCCAAAGTATTACACTATAATAATAAATTTATTGGTATGCCTTGAACTTAAAAGGGGGAGGGGGAGTTTAGTCGTGAAAGAATTCCCTCCTGAATCAAATCAAGAATTGGTAATTTCTTTTCATCCACTAGTTAGCCGTGACTAGCTGAAAACTCATTAAGTAGGCCTTTCATTAGGAACAGTGTCAATTTGTAATTTCCATTTGTTAACATATATGTCGGCAAAATTAAAATTTATTGGCCACAATTCACTAGAAACACATTCACTTTACAGTAACTAAAATGTACTATTACTATAGTTGCAAATGAATGATTCCTGTCAAGAACTGATAAATGATAATAATTAAAGCAGCTTAGCTCAGTCGGCTAAACTGGTGGTAGCCACTGTGTGTGCTGAACGATGAAGATCGCTAGGTCCCCCGTTCAATTTCTATCGCTGCTCCCCGTGGTGTTTCAGCTGGAGGGCTGAGACGCAAGTCATGATAGTGCACCGTGTTTCAGAAGAGAGGTTTAAAGCTGTAGGTTCTGTGTGCAAAACTATTGCATTAAGTATTGTATTTAAGAGATGAAAATCAAAACAGAACAGAATTAGGTTTGTATAGAAAGACATCCATTTCAAATCTTACAATCTCCAAGAACAAATGTTGGCAAAGTGTGGCCTCGGCCACATGCAGCCTGAATACAATTTTGTTGTGCTCCTCAATTTAATCTAATGTTAAGTCTACCATTTTCGGTTAGAAAACCCAATTTTCACCATAAGCTAGCTTGCGGCCCTCGTGTTACAGACCTGCCAACTCACCAGACCTGTCGGGTGTCACCTGATATTTAAACAAATCTCCAGTTCTCCCGATCGAATCTAATTTTCACCAGATTTCACAGGCCACGCCCTCTCCAAAAATACTCCGATTTATGCATAATTTGAATGATTTGATTGTTTATTATTCAATGTATTTGCCGCCTGCTCGCTTTGCGGTGCAATAAACAAGCAGCCATTTTCAATTCGAATGTCGCCACCAACGGCCAATGATTTGTAGTGAAGTGAATTTATCGACTTTTTTGGTTGGTCATCTTTTGGTTATTTCTGGAAACCTCCAGATTTTTTGGTGAATCTCCAGATTTTTTTAAGATTCTTAAAAAAATCTCCAGATTTTCATGACCCAAAGGTTGGCAGGTCTGGTGTTAAATCAAAAATTCTGTTTGGCCCTTGCGTTAGAATAATAGCATTTCACAGATATTTACAGTAGTTCTGTTTAGTTGATTTCAACAGAACTAGCTTAATCTTATTCTCATCATGTATGTAACATAAAAATCATAGTTTAATTGTATTTGGGAGCCATAAGATTTTACATGTACATTGATGGTTTTTAAGTGTCTGCTAGGCTATTATTTTTTTTCTGTAAGGTACTGTACTTAATCATCTCTGTAATAAAGTGAACAAAATTAATTACCATTCACCCTCAAAATTGCCCTTCTACAGTAAATGTCGGTGCTAAAAGCCACATGTCTTGTACTTTATAGTGATACAGTACAGTTCTTATCTTTGACACCATAGATCTTGTAGAACCTGCAGTATAGATTTAATCTACTAAAATTTGTCACATTCTTCATCTGTGTAATTAAATAAACAAAAATTTATTATTGTTCACCCTCAAAATTTCTTCTCTACAGTAAATGTCGGTGCTAAAAGCCCCATGTCTTATACTTTATAGTGATACAGTTGGCAATCATATTTGACACCATAGATCTTGTAGAACTGCAGTATAGATTTAATCTACTAACATTCGTCACATAGTCTTCATCTGTGTAATTAAATGAACAAAAATTTATTATTGTTCACCCTCAAAATTTCTTCTCTACAGTAAATGTCGGTGCTAAAAGCTTCATGTCTTATACTTTATAGTGATACAGTTGGTAATCATATTTGACACCATAGATCTTGTAGAACTGCAGTATAGATTTAATCTACTAACATTCATCACATAGTCTTCATCTGTGTAATTAAATGAACGAAAATTTATTATTGTTCACCCTCAAAATTTCTTCTCTACAGTAAATGTCAGTGCCAAAACCCCCATGTCTTATTGTGCTACGGTTGGTAATCATATTCAACAACATAGATCTTGTAGAACTACAGTTGTATAGATTCAATCTACTAAAATTTCAATACATTTGTCACACAGTCTTTATCTGTGTAATTAAATGAACAAAAATTATTAGATTCTCAATCTACTAAAATTTCAAAACATTTGTCACACATTCAGCATAAATATGTGATGGTTTTATGGCAATTTCATAAATAATACTAAGTACTAACTACTAATGTGTTTTTCTGTAATTTTTTTTTCTGCTTTTCTCCAAGGGTTATGATATAAGTTTCCTGATTACAAACTTTCACACAGAGCAGATGTTTAAACATAAACTGGTGGATTTTGTAATTCAGTTTATGGAAGAAATCGACAAGGAAATCAGCGAGATGAAATTAGCCCTAAATTCTAGAGCAAGAATTGCCGCTGAGGAGTTCTTAAAACGAGTAAGTTCAGTGAAAATAAAAAATTAGCTACAGTATCAGTCAATTACAGACTTTAGCATAACACCAAAAGTAAAGTTGTAAATTTGAGACATACCTGTATTATGCCAAATTGAGTTTTGTTGTATGCCAGGTCAGTTTGTTATATTCAAGAAAATGTGTATGAAACATTGGGTTTAAGTGTTTTGATAATATATTTCACATTCACAAGGTTCTGAGTTGATTTGCATATATTAACATGTTGACATCAACTGTAATAAAAAATGAACAAACATACAGTACTATTTTTGGATTTATACTTCCGGGTTCTTCCCTGAACTTCCAGGGTGAGAGTTCCATTTTCTGGTGAGTTAACATGAAATACAATAGTTGTACAGTATGTTTAGACAGGTGTGGTGCCCGGAGTGAACCTTGTCAAACGTTAACTCGTGTCCATGGCAACAAACGTATCCAAGATGTTTTTATGGCGTGTTGTGTTAAGATGTTTTACGGAACTAATAGAAAAGTTAACAAGAAATTAATTTAGAGGCAATTTTCAGACACCTGAATTTTAAAATTATCTTACTCTTGTACTCAGTTGGCAGAACCCAAGTGGGGGTCTGTGTGTAACACTTCAAGCAACAACAATATTTCAACACTTGTATTGCAATTCAAACATTTGGCTGTCTAAACCCAATCACATATATTTATCAATATATTTGTTCACCTAGAGGCCTGGGCATTCCCTCTCTCAGTAATACTGGCCCTGACCTACCTAGTTCTTCCTAGGCCTTCTTTACAAGATTTTTGCCCTAGTTTGGACACTCTGCGAGGTTTAGGTTATCTGTCCTGCAGAGTCCGGCAACCACATTTTCTGGTTGTCACTTGGAAAGTCCATCCCAAACTTGGCACACATTCATCTACGAGGTTTTCAATTTCTTTATTCTGAATAAAAAAATATTATGCAAAGATAAAACCACAATAGAGTACTGAACCGGCAAACTTATTTCCATTGTGGTCCAAAGACCTGTCATGTTTATACTACGATATTTCTTTTCGAGTTGATTGGCTTTAGGCAGTATACCTACTGTATGCTCTTAAAAAGCGTCAAAATTTGCTTTAATTCTTTTATACCTTGTTTGGAGAACCCCGCCACCAATATATGCTAGGAGCCATACATAATACTTTTTAACAAATGGTCTAATAAATTAAACAGAAACATGTGTAAATGAACAATTTCAGATCAATATTAAGTCTTTACAGCAAGTATGTACAGAGATAAGCTTATATGCTTTAATAATAATATAATATGCCAACATGTCAAAGGTCAGAAACAGCATTTCCGGCCATTTTTTTTTAGCAAACGGTTCCATTAGACCAAATAGAAACATGAATGTTCAAATAAATTGACACCACAATTAACTCTCTAAAACTGAAAGGTCCACTGATTAATCTCAGATAAGATAGTATAATACATACTATAAGTATCGAAATGCACGCCATCGTGTTGGGATTCAATGTTTCAACATTTACTCTCTACCACCAGTGGTTGCGGAGATATAAGGACCATATGGATTTGACCTTGAAACATGTCAAAGGTCAGAAATGGCATTTCCGGTCATTTTTTAGCAAAATGTTCTATTAGAGCAAATAAAAATATGTATGTTCCAAACAATTTGGCACCAAATTCAACTCTCTACCACCTGTGGTTGCGGAGATACAAGGACCTTATAGCTTTGACCTTTGACCCCGACCTTTTGACATTTCGCCACATTTTGAAAATGTGTTACCAAGCCAAAAATGATTCTTGGACCACCCTGAACCAATTTCTGATGTCAAATTTTCTGTACCTCAAAGTGCATACAAAACTTGGTCTGGCTCCAATGATGATTTTGAATAAAAGTACAATTTTATTATTGGCCAATTAGCGTACCCACCGCCACCAAAACATGAAAATTTCAGAAAAAAATAAAAGTTTTTCTTTATTTTGATTACGCACGCCGCTGCCTTGAAATCTCTAAAAATAAGATAATAATGTATATTTCTTCCTAATTATATAAATTTAAAGCATTTAACCACCTCGTTACTACACTATTTGCATTCACCTATAAAATGTTATTTTTATTTTCTCCTCTGTCTAGATGTTTAGGAAAATCTATTTGCTAAATAAGAAAACTGAATTTTTTTTTTTCCACCCTCCTAATGTTATTTTTTTTTTCTCCTCTGTCTAGATGTTTAGGCAAATCTATTTCTCCCATCCCATATTCGTATCCGTTCCTTACCTACTCGTACTAAACGCTATAACAAATCATTTGACCTACATTCTATTGTAATTTACAACAAATATGTTGAAAAATTGTTTTTGCTACCCATGGAGAGAACACCAGGATCAAACCAATTTAATCATTAATTAAATTGCACAGTATTACCTTATTTAGCCTTTTATTTGAATTGTGAACAGGGAATTGATTTTTCCTTTTATCTATTTGACCTTAATTTGAATTGTAAATTGAATTGTGTATCTTAATTTTTTATATATTGAATTTTTACCTTTTATATGTTGCAGTGTATAAACAAAGACTTTCTAATGTATTTGTTTATACATTGGACAGTAAAAGATTGAATTTAATTAAATTTGCTAAATAAGGAAACTGAATTTTATTTTTTTTTTCCACCCTCCTCTGATGATCTTTATAAAAGATAAGATCGCGAAACAAGGTACAGAAAAGTTATGACTAAGGGCCCGTTCGAGCGAAAAAATATCCGTGTGATTTTCCAGTTAATTCACCGGTACACACTTTCTAAAACCGCTCGGACATGCGCCTAATTACCTTACCATCTGGATTATCCGCGACAATTCTGACCACCAAATTGCTGGGTAGAATTCCGTGTATGAGATGACCTTGGAGCCGGAGACGATGATAAATCAACCTTAATTGCTTTGCCAAATAGTTCGTCCAGAGCAAGTACCCGCTGTCGTCGCGCTCTTCTTCGCCTCCTCATGTTCACGGCGAAATCAAAGTTGGATTGGACAGTAAATCCATCCACATAACATCGCATCATTGTAGCCATAATGGTGGCTAGATAGTAGCAGAGCTACACGTTCAATTTGTAAAATTACCATTACAGTACAGTATTCAGAGAATTAAACTTCAATACAAATCGTTCCCGCGTATCGTTTAAACAAGCAGAAGTAAACAAAGAATGGGTTGATGGGATTGGTGTTTCTGAATGACCTTACAAAATTACTTCCGGAATAGTTTAGTTGCACGGTATTCGACATGAGCTAAAATTTTCTCAAACGGTGGACCACCTGCTGTGTGCTCGGCGCGATTAACCGTTGAATTCACCGGAATATGGTTTGCGTTTTTCGCTCGAACGGGCCCTAAGTATACTTCGTCTTCTTTATTCCTTTGTTGAATATCTGCTTGTAATTAGCGCGCAATGGCTTTCAAAACAATAAAAAATGTTAGAAGCTCCCCATTTGCACATATCATCCCTGACAAGGTTAAACTTGCTTTATTGGCCAAAGAGATACTAGCTTGATCTTTCAAACTAATTTTAGTTAATAATATTAAAGAAATAAATTGTGACACCACCTGAATTGTCAATTTTAAAGGTTATTCTGACTTGTCCAATGTTGTTTTTATGTCATGCATTAATAATATTAAAGAAATAAATTGTGACACCACCTGAATTGTCAATTTTAAAGGTTATTCTGACTTGTCCAATGTTGTTTTTATGTCATGCAGCGCATGGACAAAAGGCACATGCTCTTGGTTATTATATTGTTATTTCTCCAATTAAAATCTTTTAGGACATTCTTGATTTGTTTTTTTCCCAAGGGTATTAAATAAATAAATTGATTGTAAAATGACACAAGTGCCCTAATTGACTATTTTGAAGGTCATATTTGATTTGTATAATGTTGTTGCACACATCTTTGTGCCAGAACAAAACAACACATACAGTACTTGATTGCCATGTAATCGGCCCCGCAGAGATACACTTTGGCAAATTATTTCTTTTGGCAGTTAATGAAAATAGTTATGCAACAAGGTCATAACTAAAATGAACTAAATTTGTTGCTAATTAACAAGAAGCTAACGGAAATTATGTGTTTTTGTACATTGATTGTGCATCCATTACAAAAAACGTAGTATACTATATAATGATGTACAGTATATTACAGACAACAATTCATTACCTAAAAATACTGTTTTTCAGAATTTCCAGAAACCGAGGTACGACCTTGTGATTCTAAATTTATAATATTTATATTTTGTTCAAGTGGATTTTTTTTGTTCTCCCCAAGTCCTTAATTTTGCAAATTATCATTATTAAAATTTCAAGGAGGAACAAATTAAGCTGACCTTGACAATCTTCAGTACACTCAGCATGCCTCAGATCGTGATGGTTCTTATGCTAGGTAACTCATTGAAAAAAATTAATGAGATAATATATTGTCATTTTATTTTTCTTAACAGTTTTGATGGAATCAAGATGGATATTGTAAAGTGGACACAAGATTGTTGGCAAAAAGCAGGAATAGAAGAAATTTAAATTAAACGTTTATAGCTAATGGATCCATTTTTCTGTATATATAATATATTTTCTATCTTTGATACATAAGCTTCCAGTTATCATTCTCAATGTATGACAAAGGCATTTAGTCAAAATCTCTTTTTTTTTTATCTATCTGTATAGATAGATTATAAAGATGTATTGTCCTCTGAAACAAACGTTTTCTTGGTATTTTTCATTGGACAATACATCTTTAACCATAGCTATGCAAGCTAGGGTGCTAGGATACAACAGTGACTACAGTTGATGCAAGCTTGTGTTTTGAGAGCAAATGTGACCCAAGCTCACAAAAGGGCTGTAATCTCGTCCTCAGGCCAAAAAGAGTTTTTGTTATAATGGCATAGAACATATCATTTACTTTAAAATGACAGTTAAATGAACTCAATCGGGTGTCTGGAAGCAAAGTTATGACCGTTTGAATAATTGTCATCTTATCAACTTTCTTAAATCAAGTTTTGAGAAAAATGCTTTTATTTTTGGCAGGTTTCTATTCATTTTCACCAGCTTCCATCCGAAAATGGCTAAATTTTACCTCTTACAGTTGGAATTTTAAACTCAAACTTCAGGAATAGTATGATTAAAAGTTATACTTTATTTATTACTCAAAACCCAATTCACACAAAATTCACGTTCTACGCCCTTTTTCTGGCCATGGAGGCTTGTTTCTCAATACATTGCGGTGCGAGTTTACAGCCCTGTTGTGAGCTTAGATTACAAATGCCATTTTCCACCCTATATGTTACATTTTAACAATTTTGAATAATACAGCTTCATTAAATTAAATATAACAAGTAATGCACAAACTCTTCAAAGCTTCTTGGGAGAAAAATACCATTAAGCTAATAATCTTCCATAATTTAAAACAAATAGAATAAATGAGGTGTTGAAAGTATTGCAGTCTGAATCAGATGAGTTAATTCTTGATTCAAATAATAATTTAGAATTTCTTGCATTTTTTATATTAAATTGATTAACCAAAAAGAAGAAATTCTAAATTAATATTGTCTTGCAGGGTAAAGGTGAAGTAAAATAAGCAATGTTATCAAAACTTTGACAAATGATTTAACTAATTTCTAATTACCAATGTAATTAGCATGTTTTAAAATGTAGCAGTAGTAGCAATAAATACTGCTTTACATGTCAAACCGAAAGATGTTTAAAGGACACGATATGACATTGGAATTAACGATATTTATGTTGAAGCGAGCAACAGTATTTTTCATGGTTGACAGGCTAGACATAGAGGCTTTCTCAAGGTCTACCATTTCCAAGTTTTTCGTCAAACACCCTAGATGTGTATTAGAAAAATCATTTATACAACATATCAAAAATGTTTTTTTCTCCGGAGCCTGGCTTTTTAAGGGCTTGTGTATGAAGTTCCTATAAAACACCCCAGCTTGCATTGTTATTGAATTTTACAATCATAGGCTAGAAAGTAGGTAAAATTGATTAGAAGTAACAATTTATTAAAAGTAACAAGTAACCATCAAGATTTATCTGCAATAATTATAACCTTTTTTTTTACTATGTGACATTTTTTACTGGTAATACTTTAACCTTTACCTTTAAAGGCTTTACATTTCTTCTATAGATCAATATTTTTTTAATCATATTGCCCAATTATTTCTAATTCTGTTATTGATTAAAGCAAACATCCTAATTTGCATGTAATCAAAATTCATTCTGCTGTGGTTGATAGCATACTTGTTAACAAATAAATTGTCTTGCAAAATACAGGACGATTTGAATTTAAAATCGACCTGGCTGGGTAATCATGGTCGTTATCACTTCACCATACATGTAATGGCTTGATAGTTATTTTTAAAGAGAAATCTGTTCTTTTTTCTAAAGATTCTCATGGAAATAAATAAATATTATCTAGCAAATGAATTGTTCTTGTGTTCATTTTGATTTATGTTTAATTGCTTCTATAATTTCATCCATATTCCTACAGTGAGAACCAATTGAGAAATTCAAAACTAAGTCTCAGGGCTAAGAATCACCTTTAGAAGGTGAACATTTTACTTAGAATATATTCTATTCCTAAAGTATTTCAAGTAATTATTTGATTATAAATATTTTAAATAATAATATTGGTCTGTTCACTAAGTAATTCACTCTACTTAACTAGGGTGTAAATAATGAATATATAAATTTTCACTTTGTGGGAAAAATATGAGCGATTTTATTGAAATAGAAATAGAAATCCTGCGGATAAAATGGTTAGTTTATTCCACCTATACCTCATTTTTAATATAATTTCAACTACTGTCATTTAAAATGAGCCTTCCGTTGTTCGTTCATTTCAGTATTCTTTCAACACAATATAGTTTAGGTAAGAACCAAGAACCACTCACGATTGTGCGCCCACATTCTCCTGGCCTGGAATTTATCAATCTCAGCTTAGCAAATGTCAAAAAAGTTAAGATGTCCCTAATAAATATCTTAAGCTGATTTATTAACCAATTTTAGCAAAATCTTGGCTTAAAAATCGTCTTAGATTGCGCCAACGTACAATCGACTTTCTAATTTTAAGCAATTTTTAAGCTAAGTAATATGGATAAATTTGACTTAAGCAAAAAAATGGACTTAAGACAAATTTAAGCTGATTTCTAGTTTGATAAATCTGGCCCCTGGTCTTGCGTTGAAAGTATGGATACATATCTCTACAGTACTTGGATTCAATGAGCCTTTTTTAGGTTCGTATACATTGACAATCCGAAAAAATAGACACAATGAAACTGACAGTAGCCCGTCTAAAAGCTGGTTTAGCAGCCTATGAATTTTATACTTTCTACATTTGCAATGGATGTACAGTACTGTATAGTATTTCTGTATATTATTTTAATCTTTTAACCGCAATATAAATAATGCAGTGGCTGTTATTACACCAGTCGTAAACCAAATCATGTAGACTATTTGTATGTGACAGAAGTAAATTGAAGAGAAATCCTCAAGAGTATGTTATCTTATAAAGGTTTGAAATACAAATCAGCCGGCCGTATAAGCCCAATTGATGTGGCGTTTTTTTTAAAGGAAATAATTCTTATTTAGATTTCCATGAGCCATACTCTTTCAATGAAAGACCAGGAAGTGTCGTCTGACGAGAAAAAACTAGCAACATAAGCCAGTAAAATTCAATGAGTATGTAGAGTAAATTACTAAAAAGGCATTCAAAAGAGAAAACAATGTAAAATGAAGTAAAAATGAATTTTCGAGTGAACATGCTGATTTGAAGTAACAAGTCAACAACATTGAAATGAAATTAGTTTATTGTAGATGTTCACCCTTTTTTTTTTAAATAATTTTTATATTGGGCTTTAGAACAAAGAAATTAGTGTAAAGGGAATGATTTCGATGCGAAGTTTCAATGATTTTTATTATCCGATATCAAATTCAGGGTAAAAATCTTTTAAATGCGCTTTATAGTCTCCAGTTGATAGGTTTTACGTTACTGTAATTCAGAAGGAGCAAGTTGAATTTAAAATTTATTTTCGTGCTTTCATTTTTCAGAGCGAAAATACCATCTTATTAAATCTATAGACAAGAGAAAAATACCTTACTTTAGTAAAGACTGGTTTCCATATAATCGCTACACTGTTGCTACAGTATTTTCGGTGCAAGTGTTAACTGCGTAACATTTCCCGGCGCAATCGGGAAAGTTCCCCGATTCGACCAACCAATCACCATCACCGAAAGCTGTCAGTGATAGCGTGTAGCGATTGTATGGAAACCATGCTCAAGATGATGCTCGTTAATGCATTGATGCTGTCAGAATGTACATTTAACTCTAGTGTCTCATTCATCCCGGTTCAGTGTTCAAGGACGTAGAAATCACAATTTTCTCGTGAATTTGGAAAGCCGAACCAGAAAAAAATGGAGAAAAACATTTTTTGTAGAAAAATTGCTGAAGCAGGTTTGCATGTCTGATTGTAAAACATTTTTTTTTAAGTTTGAGAGTTAAATGGTTACATAAATTCACAAAGCCATTATTTTTATAAAGTAGGAAGTGATATGTTATAATTTTTATAAAAGCACCTTAAAAGAAATGTGATCGAGAATTGATGTCCTTTAACAAAATTAACGTCGATGTTACGTAAGGCGGTAGTAGCCATGGTAACAGGCCGTTAACAAATCAAAACTGTTTCCTGATATTAATAACCTTATGGAAGGAAGTACTGTAATCTGGTGAAACCAGAATTAAATTAAACAGAAAAGTCTATACTCCAAGCTATGCACAGCGAGTTTGCTTAGAATTGATGGCATATTTTGCATGTTATAAAGTATATTTATGGGCCTTTATATTTCAGAGATCCAGTCTTCTTGTTTGGCATATTTTAATATTGATCTCTATTATTTGCAGTGCATTTAAAACTAATGCTGTTCGATTACGCAACTTCAAAGGAGTGTGAAGGAAGCTCCTTCTAGCCGGATTCAACTTTTCGCCAAAGTCCCAGTCGCCCAGTTGGGAAGTTCCCGGCGTTTAATCCTATGTGGAACCTCTTTTTCACAATTCAGATTCTGCTTTAACATTTAAAATGTATTTAAACATTTATACAGAAAAACACTGTGAAATTAACTATTTTACAATAATATGGGCCTGTTTCTAAATATTAAATTTCAGATGAATGAGGCGATATTTGAAAGAAAGAAAAAAAAAGCAATAAAAGCAATCCTCAGAATTTGAGAATAGCTTTGTTGTAATTAAATTTTGATGTGTTATACGACATCGATTCTTAAATACAATTTCGTATGTTGTTCCATCATTTCCACCTGCAATTCTAAAAGACTGTCTTCAATGTTTGTCTTGGAAGCAAGGACATCGAGGGAATTTGAATTTTTTGTAATAAACGAATGTCTGTCGAACATCACATCAATTTGCATTACAGTGTATATGAATGTCCATGCATGCATTTATACATGCAAAAGTCACGTTTTCGATCAATGTGTTGCCACTGACGTTCATTTATTAAGTCAGCACCACGCGTGTTTACATAATCAAAATTTTGGAAGAGACAACAGAGTTGTGCACAATGCATAGTAAAATCGTTTTTTGTTTTCTTTTTTTTTTTGTTTTTTTTTTTGTTTAACATTTCATGTAGTTTTTTTCTCCCTTCAACAGCAAGTACACTTGCGTCTACATGAAGGAATGATGCTTTACAAACTAAAGCAACTCTCACATTATCGCGACCTAGCACGGCGACCGTACTGACCTGCGGTCGTATCCGACTGGAAGTAGGACCTGCCCTCTTGTCATTTATTGGTGGAAAGTAATAATGGCCACTTCAGTCAAATGATTAAGACACGCGTGAGAGCGACTACGATTAGACTGAAGACCAGTACCGTCCACAATAAATTTTTCAACATGTTAAAATCTCCGCGACCATACACAACCTC